CATCCGAAATATTGACTCTCTTCCTATATTCAAAACTCATCTCAAAACCCACCTATTTAAAATTGCATATACAGTTTAAACTCATCGCTTTTATGATTTATAATTTTATCTGTGGTTTTATTGCTCTTTTTATTGTAAAGTGTCCTTGGGTATTTTGAAAGGCGCTTATAAATAAAATGTATTATTATTATTATTATTAAACATTCCCCAGCAATAACTCAGCTGTCTTCAAATAGGAACACTTAAAGATAAATGTGATCAACAAGATGCATGCAAGGCTGAAACCTCGTAGTCTATTTGTATGATTGCCAACAGTGTGTGTGTGTGTGTGTGTGTGTGTGTGTGTGTGTGTGTGTGTGTGTGTGTGTGTGTGTGTGTGTGTGTGTGTGTGCAAGGGATTGGGTTCGTTAGTAATGTGTAACTGAACTGCAAGATACAGTAATTCTCTACGTTATAGCAGCTAAGCAGTAATTAAATGACACAAGTGCCACAAGTCTAGAAAACATGAACCTGTGACTGAGAATATCGCGGGAGATTGGCCCTTCTAACGAGTATATCAATTACTCATGATAGAGTAATGCATGTCAATATGAGTGAGGAGCGTTCTCATGGATTATCCAGACTACGTGTACAGGCATGCAAGGAAAGGCATCATTATGGAGTGCACAAAGAGTGACTGCACCCCTGAGCTAAGTTTCATGGGGGTTGGGTGCCTTGCTTCAGGGCACCTCAACAGTAGTCAGGATGGAGACCAACGTCTCTCAAAGAACAAGCTAAAATTGATGTTGTCCACAACGGGGGCCCGGAGCAAAGGCCAAGAGCTTACGATTGAACTAGTGGCTCTCCATTAACAGCAAAAATGCAAAAGAGATGTCTTACCTTGACCCCTGGGCTTGGAACAGCTCTGGGGCTGGCTGGACCAGGGCTAGTGGGAGAGGGGATGACTTTCAGTGGCTCAGGGCTGGTTACATTATGAAGAGAATCCAGAGCGAGAGGATGAGTGTAGGAGGGTAGGTTTGGAAAAAAATCACAGTTATTAATTTATAAAATGTTCCACATATGAATAAAGATTTGATTTAATGACATTAAAATTACACTGTTTCAGTACCTCTTTGGGGGTCCTTTGCTTTGGGGCTCTGAGGGATTGATCGGACTGTGGCGACCAGATGTAAATTTTAGTTGGCTCGGAGTCATAGGACTTGATACTGGAGTATTTTTGCCTGAGCCTCCATCCTCATTGGCTGTGACAGTCGAAGTGAAGATGGTAGCCGCAGTGATTGTGTTGGGATCCAGGCTGGTGTGAGGAGTGGTGCTGGGCTGGGTGAGTTTGTCTGGCGTAGAGTGAGACATTAGGCCTTGGATGGTTCCCAAGACGAGGCTTGAAACAGTCACCAGATCAGTTGGACTGGTAAGACTTGTTTGTTGTTCAGGAGCAGTGGAGGAGCATTCTGAAGGTGAAACGATGTTGGTGGCATCAAGAGGTGCGTTTGAACCATTTTGTGGGAACGAATTCTGTGTTATTGACGGAGGCTCTGTGCAGGATATCACACCGTTCTTCATAGCTCCAGATGTGTTTGCAGAGGGGGACGAGGGATTAGAAATGTCCACCACAGTCGACGTCAAGTCCCTATCCTGGATTGGAGGAGGCGGTGCACGGTACTTCACCTTGTTTGGTTGTGACTGAGAAACACAAGACTGCGATGGAGGTGATGCTGGTTGTTTTGTGGGTGTCACAGATGGGAGTGAAGGAGCAGGAGACTTAATGGACTTGGGTTTTGGAGATATGCATTTTGGCTGACTTAGTCCTCCTGAAGTTGGGTTGGGGAGCTGACTAGAAGTGGGCTCCGACACCGCCGCAAATTCTGCTTGTAGGTTGACGGAGGAGGGAGATGTCACTGCCTCAGCTATTAGTTTGGGTGAACTTTGGTTGTCAGCAAGGATAGTTAACTCATAGTACTCCTGAATGTCTGCAAGAAAAGAAGAAAAGTTTAAACCTAGTTCAATAACTGTCTCGATTGACAATTACAGCAGTCGATATGAGCGTATGGTGCAGATAAATATTATGTGATGAAAGTGACAAGGAAATCACACACCAGCTTTGTCCAAAGTTCAACAAGCCATACATAAAGTACTAAAAATAAAAGTGAACATCCCCAGATCTATTTTGGACTAAAAGCAGAGTCAAGTAACTTAGCAGTGCTAAAAAGGTCCAACTTTTAACGCATGTCATTGTAATAATACAAAGTATGAATGTGCAACACAACAGGATGTGTACGCATCGTGAACTAATAGTGTTCGGTAACTCTGTTTTTTGTTTTGTTTTTTTTAGTTGTCTGTTGATTGCTATTTATTGTTTTATGCATACATCCATTTTACGATCGACTTATCCTCACAAGGGTCGCTGGGGGGTGCTGGAGACTATCCCTGCCGGCTTCGGGCAGCAGGCGGGGGGACACTCTGAACCGGTAGACAGCCAATCGCAGGGCACAGAGACGAACAACCATACACGCTCAGGCTCACACCGAGGGACAATAGATTGTTCAATCAGCCTGCCATGAATGTTTTGGGAATGTGGGAGGAAACCGGAACACCCGGAAAAAACCCACACAGGCCCGGGGAGAACATGCAAACTCCACACAGGGAGGTTGGAGCTGGAATTGAACCCGGTACTTCTGCACTGTGAGGTCGATGCGCTAACCACTGGACCACCGGGCCTATTGTTTTATTTGTTTATATTAATATATTTGTCATTTTTATGCAGTTCAGTTTCGCTGCCCTTATTTTTAGATGTGTGTGTTATCAGTGCACTGAATGTTTGCACTGTGGTTGAGAGGAAAGTAATTTCATCTGTGCTGTATGTTGCACAAAGAGCATATTTGACAATAAAGCTGACTTGACTCGACTTTTATTCATGAACAGACTAAACTCACAAATTATTTTTCCCGTGATTGAAATGTCATTGTCATTATTGTATGTTAAATGTGATGTGTTACAATTAATTTATTAATTCAGGACTACTATGCAATCTTTACGCACTCTGGTTCCACATAAAGGGCTCATTCCATTTCTTAACGACAACATTCCTAGCTCCTCGCTCCTCAAAACATTGTTTTCACAACTCCACATTAAGGTGTGTCTCAATTCTACAACAGCCAATCACAGTCCAGCTTTTCCTACTCTACTTTGGTTTGCAAGTTGAAAAACTAAACTTAAAGTACTAAAAGTACCATATTTTCTGCACAATAAGATGCTTCGAATTATAACGCGTACCTTCAGTGAATGGCCTATTTTAAAACTTTGTTCATATATAGGGCGCACTACATTATAAGGCGCATAGAATTGAAGCTGCAATAGTGGCTGCAATTGCGCACTGCATCCACTAGATTGAGATACGCTAAAGGGAATACAGTTGAATACAAGACAGCTTTATTTATGTAGAGCCTTCACAACCGTGGCAGCTGGAAGAAAGCCATGAGAACTGGTCACAAACACGTACATGAAACATAAACACAAATGGCATGATGAAACAATAAATGAAAGACAAAAGTTACGAAGAAAAGTGATTCAACAAAAGAAGTTCCTCCCTGTAGTTGGGGTCCGTTATCGACAAAACAATGAGGTATAAATGAAGCCGATGTTTTATCCCTCGCACCAGGGATAAAACTAAAAAGATCGGGGTTCAGGGAGGCTTTAACCCCATCAGAAATTTGTGTAGCCTGAGTTAAGATCCTCCAGGTTTGATATTCGAAAACATATTGATGAATTATTTTCTCATCTACCCTATGTATTGGTCACGCAGCCCTCTCGTCCCGGGAGAGAAAAAAATCTTAGAGCCATCCCTGCATGGTATTGTACGTCGGTCCTCAGAACTGGCAACACAACAAACTGGTTGATTCATTTGAAGAAGTTCGAACACCAAGTCCACAGCGGTGTCCACACTGACACTGCTGCCACACAGGTTACATCAACAGTTTAACCCGGGGATCGGCAACACGCGGCTCTCGGGCCACATGCGGCTCTTTAGCGTCCCCGGGTGGCTCCCTAGAGATTTTTCAAAAATATTTGAAAATGGAAAAAGTGGGAGGGAAATATATTCGTTTGTTTTAATATGGTTTCTGTCAGAGGACAAGCATGACACAAACATTAACGTTTTCCGATGCTGTAAAAATGTGTCGAATAAATATTAAATGTCAACATTTCGTCAACGAATATTTGCGTCATAGCCTGCGACACATGTTTCTATTAGCAGGGCGGAATGTCAGTCAGGGGGCTGTTGTTTAAAAAAAAAAAAACAGCTGCCTTTCATGTACAATTCACCGAGGGTACTTGCTAAGAATGGGAATCTGGGCGGCCAAGAGAAGCATTTTTTAACGGTACACGTGAGCTACGATACTTAGCACACTGCGAAAGTGCATCCCATGCCTCATTCATCTTAGCGGCCGTTATGGCTGTTGCTCATTACGGTATGTGTGTGTAAGTGTGTGCGTATACGCGCGTGTGTGGTAACGGGTCGATCGCGGGAGGTTGGTTGTTCGAAAAGTAGATCTTCCGTCAAAAAAGTTTGGGCACCCCTCTTCTACAGGATGAACTGCAGGGGGGAAAAAAACTTTTAATCAGGAATGCTCCTTGTGTATTTGTAGCCAACTTAGTCATGTTGATAGCAGGCTAATATAGCTCATATAGATATATACAGCATGTGTTGCCTTCATTATAAGGCTTTTTATTTTTTGCGGATCCAGACATATTTGTTTTTTGTTTATTTTGGTCCAATATGGCTCTTTCAACATTTTGGGTTGCCGACCCCTGGTTTAACCACTATAAGTACGACAAAGCCACCTGACCGAACACACAATTAAATTGGCTTTTGACCATGCATATTTGCAAGTAACAATGATGTTGATACTGTATGTAGCATCATAACTTAAAAATGATCATATTTGCATTTTCATGGCTTCTTCATTATTCCTGGGCAGGCATTGTGTTTATTTGGAGCCGTATATACCTGCTAAAACCCTCAAAACTGGAATTTATTTCACTGTTATTTTAGATAGTTCTAATTTGGTTGCAATATTGAGTCTTTTTTCATCTTTTTCATCTAGTTTTGAAGATGTTAATAACAAGTCAAATTACTTTACTGCTTTGCTTTTCGGTAGAGATGCGATACAGTGTTCCAAAACTGGCAATTTATAAAGAATGTTATGCAAAATTGTGGTTATAATACAGATCGGGTATGATCAAGAGGTTATGGTATAACAAAAAATACAGAAACAAAAAGAAAAGCTGAATGTTCCTGGAGTGTTCCATCAAATAAATACTCCTATCAACTTTCACAAACAAAAGTCCTTACGAAGAGGTTGTATGCTGATCAAAAGTCAAAGACTAGTCTGATAACGTCAGGTTGTATAAATTCTGATTACTCGGTTTGCTTTCGTACTGTATTTTGAATTAAACTCTGCTGTGTAGGAAATCATTTTGGGTGCATTTAAAAATGTTGCACATACACACATATATTTGACGAACCGGTATCTGTGTTTACAAACGTGAAAAAAATCACATTGGTCTATGAATTGAGCTCCTAAGGCAGATAAATATGTTGGTAAGAGCTACATCAAGCATTCAAAGCTGTTTGTGATGTGTCTTGTGTTTTTGCTAATGGGCAACAGTTTATCCCAGGTCAAATAAAGTACCGGACTTCTTACAGATTGGTTACACGACAACAACAAAAAAAAACTTCACATTTTGATAAGCCCAGCATTCTATAAAAAGACCAGACTCAAGTCAACTTCTCTCCTCACTTCAGTTGTTTTTAACTGAAGCATGCTGCCTTCCAGCCTATAAGGTATTAACACTTCATCTCGAGGTCCAAAAACACCTTGCCAAACCCAAGAGACTATCATTAAGCTCAAAGTACCTTCCACAGCAACTCCCTTCAAAAGAATAGCTTAACAATTACAGCCACACCTAAAGCCAATGCTGACTCAATTCTACTTGCTACATATTAACTGACAATTTCAAGCACTCTATATTGCACTGTGGTAGTAGTGAACAGATGAAGAAATACTCACCAAGTAGGGCACTAAAGAGCTGGCTTTGGAACACGTTGATGACTCTGTCCAGCGACTGGTGAAGTTGGTGATCTTCCTCAACAGCGCCCTGTCTCATCTGCCTCTGCTGCCTCTGATCTAATTTGTCCCGGTACTGCTGAAGAAGCTCGAGGGCTCTTTGAGCATCTGAATAAAACATAGACAAATGAAATCACTTGTTTTTCCCTGCTACTGTTCAGTGAAAGAAGACGGTAATAATAACTATGGTTCCATTGGGATTTTCCTAGAACTGCAACGTAATGCAACCTCAATAAAAATCACTTTTTTTGCATCAACCCAATGCATTAACATTTCGAAAGACATTGAAATAATAATCTAAATGATATCAGTGAGAAAATAATAGCCATGTCCATTTGCAATCAATTGATTCTTTATGAATATGTGACAGAAGTCAGAGATATCAAGCCAAAAGTTAACACTCACTCAGTATCATAACGCGGATTAGCACATTATGGCACATCAAAGGTTCGCAGGTCTGCTTCACAGTTTTAAAGAAAAACTGCAATGTGAGAAAAAAACCTGATGTGGATTGTTTTCAGCATTTTTGGCCACAACATTCGTCAAAGAAAAATAATCTGTGCTTTGTCGGCAGCACACGTGTACCAGCACTGATTTTGATTGGGAGGAATGTCGCCGCCATTTGACTGTCGTTGCTGGACAGCCCCGGGGCGCTTGTGTTTTGTGCCTGTAATGGGCAGCATTTTCACAACCCCGCTTTGTTCTGCGGAAAGGTCATGCTGTTGGACAGTCTGCGGCTGGATGGATGCATGGCTTGAGGAGCCGACGATGAGAAGAAAGGAGTGTCAGCGCGAAGCCCCGATGCGTATGTGGAACTGGGAGTCGCGGCTTGGAATTGAAGCGGAATTTACATGGGCCAGGAGATGAGAGCCAATCTCTTTTCATTAATGGACGTTACAGCTTCTTGTTGCTTTCAAACGTACCTTGTAGCAGACGTGTGCACATTTTCAGCATGACTTCTTTGATCCACTTGCGAAAAGGACACTTTGATTCGCTCCTCTTTCATCTATAACTGCTTTAAACAACAAAGTGTATGTAGGAAAGGTGATTAAGATTGCACGACTGTCTGTGTCTTATGTGTTGTGTTGTATTATTTTGTCATTTTATGTTAACTGTTCTTTTGATGGCGGCGCGTGCACCCGCAGCAGCTCTTGTTGTCTTGTTGTCTGTTTGAGAGGGAAGAAATTTCATCTGTGTTGTATGTTGCACATACTGCACATTTGACAATATAAGGGGTGTTCACACGGCACACATTTGCTCCGGTGCTGCAACAATTGTATTTTGTTGCAATATATTTTACACCGGAACAAATTTTGTGGAGCGTTCACACGTGCAAAGCCGCTGAGCGTATTAACCCCGGTGCAGCCCCGCTGCAGCCCCACTTGTGTTCACACTGCAGTTTCTGCAGCGGTGCAAAACAAAGAGCTGTCGTGTTGATTCTTTTTAAAACATACACAACTCAAGCAATTACTGTACAAGCACGTCCTTCTCCTTCTCGGTCTCCGTGCCTTCTGCTCGAGAGGCATTCAATGACCGCTCCCGAAAACGTAAATCAACGATAACTTCAATGACACTCAGAAAAGCAAACTTAATGCGCCAAACAGAAAATCAAGAGAGGAAATCACAAAATAAATTCTATGGGGGGGTTGTGAAAACACAACAGAGGAACAAACTACACAAACAACTCTGAGACAGAGCACGAAAGCAACGCGTTCTAGCCGTATGTAATCAACTGTTCTCATGCGTAGCGAGGCTACTCCCCCCGCAAAGGAGCATTCGCTCCGGAGCAAATTTTTAACCCTCTAGCGTTCACACGTACCATTTTACATTGGTGCTGCCCCACAAACGAGCATTTGCTCCGGAGTAAATTTTTAAACCACCTCCCTGAGCAGGGTTAAATTTGCTCCGGTTTAAGCTGTTTTCAGGGGCTATACCGGTGTAACTTTGCACGTGTGAACACTCTACTGGGGCAGCACCAGCGCAGCACCGGAGCAAATGTTGCCGTGTGAACACCCCTAAAGTTGTACTTGACTTGTACTTGACTTGCAACTGAAGTCTGTATTCTGCTCATATTACAATACAATACAATACATTATGATTTATGGAGCGCTTTTTCCCCAGTGTGGGACAAATAAAGGTTATCTTATCTTATCTTATCTTACCGTAACTTTCAGTCGTGCTGTATAACTTTCCCATGCCCGCAACATAGTTTGGCGTCCTTGTAACAATCATCACTTAGAATTGGAATACTCCCTGCTAGAGACGCACAAACATTGGAATGCGCTAGTTCAGGGGTGTCAAACTCATTTCACATGGTGGGCCACATACGGCCTGGGTAGATGTCAAGTGGGCCGGACCATTAAAATGATACCATACTTTGCTATAAATAACCAAAACAATATGTCTTTCCTTTGTTTTGGTATAAAGAAGCACAAGAACATTAGGAAAATGTTGAAATTAAATGAACATATCTTTTACAAAACATTTCATGAAGCACCTTACATTTCCTTCGACAAATGTGCAATTTACTTTTATAATTCACATATATGCATTGCAACTGATCCCA